TTCCTCCAGCTCCTCTCTGCAGGCTGGAAATTGCCTCTGTGGGTAAGAGCGTGCGCATCATGGCGAAGGCAACCAAGAGCCTGCGGGAAGCGCTACAGCCTATCTTGGGGAAGTACGGCCTGGCCATGGAGCCTGAGAAGCTGCGGCAGGTAAGGCAGGCACTCCTCGCTCCGGGGCAGCCATGGCCTGGCACCGGGGAGGGGCTGCTGGCTGAGCGCTGGGTGCAAGCCCTCTTCTTCAGGCATGCAGTGCGGGGGTGGAGGGATCCCAGGCCAGACACCCCGTGCTGCTCAGCCTGCCTGTGCCAGCTGCATGTGCTGGGCTTGCTGCATGGCAGGCACCCATGAGTACAGCCCCACTCAGGGGACTGCCTGCATCTGCAGCCTCATCCCCTCCCACAGCTTGCATCCCCATGCAGTGCCTGGACCTGCTCCCCCCACCCCTGCCTGCCACATGAGCCCTGCCCTGACTCCCTTCTCCCCCCGCAGGAGGGTGAGCCCAGGGCCTTGGACCTGGAGAGACCGGTCAGCACCGTGGCTGGCCAGAAGCTGGTCTTAGAGGCCGGAGCAGGTACAGTTGGTGCAGGTGGGCCAGGGGTACATAAAACCTCTGCACAACTCTAGGAGACTGTGGTGTCGACACCCACACAGTCAGATGGGTCACTAGTTGGCTGGAGGGCCGCACCCAGGGAGTGGTGGTGGGCGGGTCATTTTCGACCTGGAGCGATGTGGGCAGTGGAGTCCCCCAGGGCTCGGTCCTCAGGCCTGCACTGCTCAACATCTTCATCAGTGACTTGGATGAGGGGGTAAAAAGCACCTGTTCACATTTGCTGATGACACTATGATGTGGTGGGATGTGGGCACGCTAGATGGGGGGGGGGAATAGGCTGTAATCGGACCTGTACAGGTTACAAGGGTGGGCAGATGAGAACAGGATAGGTTTCAACACTGACAAGTGCAAGGTGCTGCACCTGGGGAGGAAGAACCAGCACCATACCTAC